TTGTATCGAGGATAAAATTGATTTTTAAATTCTTGTCTCACCCATCTGTCTGTACAGAAATGATTACAAACTCGTTAACTCTCCGGGGGATCCCACGTCATATACTTAAGTGGTAACTTTCATGAGAATATAGGAGCTCCAAGTTTGACATCAGTCAGTTCCTGGAAACTCGAGATGAAGCAGATTTCAACTTCTTTATGTCTGTTTACGCACGGAAAGAGCAAGAAACAGCCTTGAAATTCTTTATACATACATGAGTCCGTACCATCTAGTGTCTGTGATCACACATATTTTACAATACAATCATGGACAATAGCAACGTCGTAATTGTCTGTTTTTCATTCAAAGTATATCGTTGGAGGCTCTACCATGTTGGATGGTTTATTGGACATATATAAAGATTAAAATTCGCCAGACTAATAAAACATATCCTCAGAGAGTTTTTGAGATCTTATTTATAAACAAAGAGTCATATTCATATCAAGAAAAATGTTTTATTTCCCTCAAGGAACCAAAGAAATGTAATATATAAATCAGTCTGTTTTTGCCTTGATCGTTTTAACCATCACTTCTCAGATAACAGTATCCCAATAAATACCAATTCCAACAAATGCCAAGTTCAGTTTTCAATCTTGGTCTCTGCAAATCAGTGTGATGAACATGACTGACGAGTAGATACCGCGTTGAAGACGACCAGCAACTAGCAATAAGGTAAATTCAATTACAGACTGCTGTCGTGGCCTTCAGAACCATCGACAGTAGCTTGTACAGAGAGTGTCCAATGATTTGATTTCCTCCCTGTAATTGCGTTATGTCCTAATGCAATGTTCCTGGTTCGGTCTGACCTTCCGCTAATTGGTGCAGTAGAACTGCAGGAACTGAAGACGCCTTTGATGCCATTGAGGTTTATGTGAAGCTCTGGTGAAGGTGTGTAAGACATTCCACAAATAACTGATTCTGTCTCACACTGATCATTTGATCGTGGGTCGACCTCATGTAGTACTTCTTTAAACGCCCCGGGACCATTAACGCACTAGGCGATACTGTATTCACTGATATTGAAAGGGACACGTTTGCCCGGACGTCCAAGGCGCCGCAATTCATGGTGCAGAGTTGCGTCCCTTAGGTTTGCCAGTAGCCTATGATCGTGGCTTCGAATACATGTGTGCCCTAATTATACTTCTAGGTTTGTGAGGACCATACCCGGATCGTGTGTTTCAGAAAAGTGGTAAACGTCTGCGTCACTTGAGGCTTTCCGTTGGCACTAAGCTAACACGCCGTGATATAACTAGAATACTGTTAAAGCTGCTTTAATACTCACTCACTCACACAAGTGCCATCTGTGTATTTCACTCACTCACTCACTCACTCACTCAAGTGCCATCTGTGTATTTCACTCACTCACTCACTCACTCACTCACTCACTCACTCACTCACTCACTCACTCACTCACTCACTCACTCGTGTGAAGCCCATTTCTGGTTTCCCCCGCCGTGTTATTGCTGGAACATTGCACGGCGTAAAACCATATTCACTCACTCACCTGTCGCAGGATGACTATGTATGACTGTATTTGTCATTTTGTCAACAGATAAACTTGAGCTGTGTATTACAACATTTGTTTTCCATTAGTTTGAGACGACAACAATTTTAAATCTGACTTAAGAATGGAACTAATGATAACGCCAAAACCTCCATTATTGTTATGGAACCGCGTTTAACGCCATGTTGTAGCGGTCGCTTCGTGCCACCTTAACATGCCTCCATGTACCAAGTAAAGGTATTTCAACCATAATCCCCTCTTGCTGTCTTTTTCCCCACTTGGATACGTATCAAGTTTGCAGTGAAGCAAAATGATCACATGTAGCACACGGTGTGATATTCTGACATTTATACGCGACAAAGGCGGTAAGCTCTGATCCAACACTTAAAGGTTAAAGCTGTATCGTCGTTTAAAACTTGATATAGTGTTTTGTATTCAACTTGAAGAATTGCAACGTAGGCGTGTGCCCAAACGGACAGTAAATCTGTGAAAATATCGTCATCTGGTCCAAACATTTCTTTTATTGCACATTTTGAACTATTTTGTATCGATCCTCAACTTTATTCAACTTCAGTTGGAGATAAAATCTAGTTTCGGTGACAGGCGGACATCATGTTCTCGGTACACGTTTGTCATTTGGATTTAAATCACGCTTAATAATATTCTCTGGTAACCGAGACCTGCAGTATGAAGGATGGAAAGGAGCGTGGATTTGGTGCGTGATTTGTGTAGACAGTTAATAATATAGGTGAAAAACTTGTTTTCAAATGGGGTTTTAATGTGTGCATCACTTAATGTTCCTGAGGAAACACGTGAACAAGGCCGTCGTAGTCACGCTCTGTATGTGTTCAGGGGCGGTCGGGTAGCCTAGTGGTTAAAGCGTTCGCTCGTCACGCTGAAGACCCGGGTTCTATTCCCGACATGGGTACAATGTGTGAAGCCCATTTTCTGGTGTCCCCCGCCGTGATATTGCTGGAATATTGCTAAAAGCGGCGTAAAACCATACTCACTCACTCACTCACAGTATGTGTTCAAAGTTTTACTGATTCAGCTCTCAAACCACACAGTTTGAGTAACTATTTAGCGTTGTTGATATTAAATCATAAACATATATACATTTGTAACTGTATGAATGAACGAATGAATAGAAGGATGGATGGATAGATCGATTGATGGATGGATGGATTGATGGATGAATCAAATAAATAAATTTAAAAAAAATATAATTTTAATTTTTTTTTATTAAAATAAATAAATAAAAAATAAATAAATAAATAAATAAATAAATAAATAAATAAATAAATAAATAACGATGGGCAGTTTGAAAGCCTAGGGTTTCACTCTCCACTTCAAGTCCATATACATATGTAACTGTATGAAGGAATGAATGGATGAATGAATAAATGAATGAATGAATAAATAAATAAATAAATAAATAAATAAATAAATAAATAAATAACAATGGGCAGTTTGATAGCACTGGGGGTACAAATGTATACAATGTGTCAAGTCCATGTTTGCAGTCATTGCTGGAATACTGCTTGAACGGCATAAATTCTCACACAGTCAGCCGTCCAACATGATTCGTCGCCGTTAGCCGGACAATAGGGCCCACGTCATTTTCAGGTTTTCAAAAGTAACAATATATCCAGGATGTCACTTTCCACCCATCTGTGTCACTTTGATCCCATCCTTAAACGTCGCCATCAAATATCGGTAGACGGTGTTGTCTCGACAACAAGCACCATCGCGGTAAGAACGCGGGCAATATTAGCCTGAGGTTCGATTGAAACTAGTCTCAAAGGGGGAAATTTCATTTTCGTGTGAATGAAGCTTTGAATTAGGCTCTAATACTTTACGTTAGATATTGGATTACGAGTTAGGTTTTATAAAACCACACACAGCCAGCCATCAGGAATCATTTTCGTCAATGTTAAACAACCCGCGTTTTTTCCAATCATACAAACATTGTAAACCAATCCTACAGCGGCGTCCACGCTATCATTAAACCCGCCATATGTATTCACCAAAATAGTTCCTGGTTATCCTACAGACTTTATCCAGTTCTCTATGAATGATAAATGTTTGCAGATATATTTGCAGAGAACGTTTTTATCCTTATTCCAACGTTTGTGGTCTTAATGATTCTGTTATTGCCCTGGCGATGTTTTTGTTACGATACATAATAGGAACAAGGCCCCTTTCCACAAAGCGATCTTAGCGCTAAGACATCGTAACTCCAATACCTTAACATGGACTTATGGTAGTCGTACCAATGAGATCGCTTTGTGGAAAGGAAATCTGGTCCTACTTGCTTCATACGATCTTTGTGTTATGACTGTCTTAACTCGCATAGTTAAACATAGATCTGCAATTGCCGTTGCGCTAAAGTGCTTCGTGCATATGGTCCCTTAATTGTGTCTTACAAAATACCATTGCACAAGTGTACACGTTTTCAATTGCATATAAGGGTATATATACTGTGAAAGACATGGCTACATCAAATATATATAAAGCGTCTCGATTATCCGCCGAAAGCAGATATGATTGAAACAACATATTTGAAAATGACCCGTTCTTCAAAGCGCTAAAATATACTCGTATTATTGTAGATAACATGTTACTGAAAATACTGTCTAACCTTCCAAATTTAAATAATTATCAAGGTGGAACATGTGTGGACGTGTGATCTGATTGATAGATATGTAACAATACGTTGAGAATTGCGTCCCCTAGATGCCGACCCGTGAAGATTCCGGGGTAGAATAGGTCTTCAGCAATCCATGCTTGCCGTAAAAGGCGACTATGATTGTCGTAAAAGGCGACTAACGGGATCGGGTGGTCAGGCTCGCTGACTTGGTTGATGCATGTCATCGATCCCAATTGCGTGGATCGATTCTCATGATATCATTCACTGGATTGTCTGGTCCAGACTCGATTATTTACAGACCGCCGTCAAAAAGCTGGAATATTGCTGGGTGCGGCGTTAACAACAAACAAACAAAACCAAACCCCTAGATGCATCCTTTATGATGGTTTGAATCTTAGATTCGTACCATTTGTGTTCCTTGGTTTGTTGATAGCATACGCGTGCTCATGACCTCACTCACTCACTCACTCACTTTACCCGTGAAAATCCGGGGAGGAACAGGTCTTCAGCAACCCATGCTCGCCGTAAAAGGCGACTATGCTTGCCGTAAAAGGCGACTAACGGGATCGGGTGGTCAGGTTCGCTGACTTGGTTGATGCATGTCATCGTATTCCAATTGCGTGGATTGATGCTCATGATGTCAATCACTGCATTGTCTGGAATGCGCCGCACTCAGCTGGAATGTTGCTGAGTGCGGCGTTAAACAACACTCACTCACTCACACACTCACTCACTCACTCACTCACTCACTCACTCACTCACTCCTCACTCACTCACTCACTCACTCACTCACTCTTGTTTCTCCAGACACACGGATCTCTCCAGACATACGAGCTTCACATCATATGATGAAGATGACGGAGACTCACGATACAACTGTTCGGAATTAGCCGCAGTCACGGAAAGTTCCGATGATGACCGATTGGATATACTGCCTTCACCTTCAATCTCCCCACAGATGTGGCGCAGCGTCGAGGATTATGGAAACCAGTCCGACTCCGAATCTTCTTCAGGTACAATGCTTTAAAATGATAGTTAACCGAACACATTCACATGTTTCCTCGATTTCCTCCCGCATTAGGCCTGACACGCCGTGATATGACTGGAATACTGTTAAAAGCGGCGTTAAACCCAACTCACTCACTCAGGAAGACACTTCGAACCTCCATGATTAAATCCTCGTGGTATTGCCACGCATCACACCAATACTGGGTACTTCATGTGTATAGAAAGTATTATAGAATTTACATAAAGTCAAGAAGTAAGGGGTCTTAGTCATTAACACTGATTTTTATCAGTTGGGAGATGGGCGTGATGAGACATCAATCCTGTATACATTAGGTACTTGACTGTTTACGTAGGGGGCACGGGTGGCCCAGTCGGCCAAGGCGCCGCGATTCGCTGTGCAGAGTTGCGTCCCTGGGCACGCCAGAAACCTATGATTGTGGGTTCGAATCCCTGTTCGCCTCGATTATGTTTCTAGGTTTGTCACACCAAACCCGTGCTCGTGTGTTTCACCGAAGTGGTAAACGAGACCTGCATCACTTCGGGCTTTCCTCCCAAATTAAGCTGACACGCCGTGATATAACTGGAACACTGTTAAAAGCGGCGTTAAATCCAACTCACTCACTCACTCACTCACTGTTTACGTGACCGCCTTCGTGGTCTAGGGGTAGAGCGTCCGCCCAGGGAGCGGAAGGTCGGGGGTTCGATCCCCGACCGCGTCATACCAAAAGACGTTAAAAGATGGTACTTGTTGTTACCCTGTCTGACGCTCGGCATTAAGGGTCTAAAACAAGGACTGGTCGGCTCGGAGTCAGTATACTGTGTCTGAGTGGGGTATTCATGTTAAACTGCGGCATGGTATCTCAGTGAGCTAGCACTATAAATCGGCATCAGTCCGGACTAGTACAAGCAGCCACACAAACACACACACGTACATGCACGTCGCTATATAAGTGCAATAATCTTGGACGCGACGTTAAACCCCATTTCACCTCGACTCACCACTGTTTACATACTTGAAACAGGTTAAGCCGTTTTGTTATGACTGAATGTAGGTATGAATGAATTTGCTTTAAAGTCGGTTTCTTTTTCCCGTAGCATATGTTACGATTAATAAAAAACTTGATTCTTATCCATTCCATAAGCGAAGCTCTTTTCTAATGATGATTTTGCGTACTCCGTCATTGACGTGAGATTTAGTGACGTCACAAACGATGATGACGTCATTCACTAGCATTGTTTACGTCATCTGGATACTGTTAGTCTTGTCCATAGAAGAAAGTCCTTTGCCCTTATGGACGAATAATAGATTATTACATTAAAGCTGCAGTATACTGATTTTAGGAGACTGGTGATTTTGTTCACGATTGTACTTCCCTCATTCTGACACGGTAAATATACAGGTCTGACACTCGTTTCATACACTTGGTAAAACACGTACACACTTATATAATATGGGAAGAAGGGTCGCCTAGTGGTTAGAGCGTTCGTTCGCCATGCCGAAAACCCCGGTTCGATTTCCGCCATGGGTAGAATGTGTGAAGTCCATTTCTCGTGTTCCCCGCTGTGATATTGACGTAAAACCATTCACTCACACACAAATTAGCAAACAAACAAAAACAAAAATTCAAATAAGCTGCCTTTGCCTTATCATAGTGGAATTGAATTGGAATCATGTGGGTCGTATTTGGAGAACATTAAAGCCAGCTATGTATGGCCATAAGTGTAGGTATTATGACACTGTTCACAAATACATCCGCTGTTTTTCGTGGCGATTGTTACATTAATTCTTATTTAAATGAATGATCCTTTATCATGGGTGATATTAATATCATATACTAATGCCATTGTGCCATTTTAAAGAAATGTGAAGGGTGAGCTACAGCGGTTCAAGGATAGTTATATATTAAGGGATAGAGAGCACCTTATCATGATATAAAGGCATTGCTTCCGAAAAAGCAAGGCAAATAATATTTGTCCGCTAAAAATATAACATCCTGTTAATATATTGTAACGCTCTTTATCTTTTCTAATGTACAACCCAATACCACGTGCACATTATGCAATACTTGCCTGTGCATCACTTAATCTTTCAAAAGTAGTAAAAATGTGGATGTCAGAGATTCAATATAAATGTTCTCCATCTGAAGAAGTGACCATCAAACTTAATGTTTGCTAATACTAGCATTGAACAGCTTCCGTGCTTGTACTCGTTTCAGGGAAATTGAAACCCTCTTTTAGCTTGACAAGATGAACAATGAATTTGTTGTTTCACTATCTTTCACAGTGCACCGCACGATGCCGTTACGATTCTTTGATAACCCGTGAAGATGCGGGTTAGATTTGGTCTTGTCGGAAACCCATGCTTGTCGGAAGAGACGATTAACGAAATCGGGTGGTCAGGCTCGCTGACTTGGTTGATGCATGTCACCGTATGCCAACTGCCTAGGTCTATGCTCATGATGTCAATCACTGTCTTGAAGCTTTAAAGAGAATCAAAATCACCCTAAATAAAAACTGATATGGTGACAGCATCTCAGGGACATGAAATTACCTTTCGTTTACAGAAATGTATTTCTACTGATACCTGTTAATATTCAACATTCATGGTCATAATATATATATATATATATAAAAGCGAAAAAACCCTCCATAATCAAAAGAAATCTCTGCTAAGAGCAGCTTTGTACGATTCCGACTTTACCGTTATTATTCCATATGACACACTCAAGTCAGTTGACATTGGAAAATTGCTGACTATGGCAAAATCAGAGACGGATGTTTAGATATCACACCGTACATAGAAATCAGTTTTAAAGTGCTTCTCTTTCATGTGTCTCTGATGGGGTTGTGTCTACATTTTCTCACTGAACATGCGATGCCTCGAGGCTCGGTCACCCTGAAAAAAAATCCCAAGATGTATTGATTTCTCAACCGCTGTGAAGTTATACCGAGGCACTCCTAGATCGTTTGCATCAAAGGTCAGGATGAAAACTCCCGCTGCCTTGGTCGTCCCAACTAAAATGCAAAGAGCATCATAAAACGCTTCAACTCTTTTGATCGCACGTCACCAGCTTGTTTTAAATTCTGATTTCAATTTTCTTTTATGAGATGTGAGTTGGGATTGCTGACATTTCAGAGTTCAAAAAGAAAGGAATAATTATATCATATGGTTGTTAAATCCTTTATTTGTTGCCATTTGCATAAATAATACCTGGTGGAATGGATGGATAACCATCGGTAATGGCCAATCAATAGGTTGTTCGGTTTATTCAAACACACAGCATGTGTGTACTTTTGCTTCTGGTTTTACAGAATGTAACATTTGGAATTATCAGAACATTTGCTTGATCAGATTGTGGATGTGTTCGGTATCATGTGTGATCGGGTAGCCTAGTGGTTGAAGTGTTCGCTCGTCACGCCGAAAACCCGAGTTCGAATCCCCACATGGGTACAATGTATGAAGCCTATTTCTGGAGTCCCCCACCGTGATATTGCTGGAATATTGCTAAAAGCGGTGTTGGGTGATTAGAGGTGAACGAGATCGTGGGTTCCTGGGACGGCTAGGGGAGGCAACCGTGACTCCCTTTTGCAATCCGGTACTACTGTCTGCAACTCTAAGTATTTATCGTCAATGTTTTTTAATGTGTTTAATAATATCTTTGAATGACAATTATATGCATATCAGTACTTAAGCATACTCATTCGAATTATGTACATATTGAAGGATCGGTACTGTGGGCAGACATGTGGATTAATTAGGATCGATCAATACGGAGCGAAGGCGATGTTATTTCCCCAGAAGGAAGAAAAAACAAGAAAGAAAGATCTGTGTGATCAGAAATGGTAAAAAATCGACTCGATCAGTAATTAATGCATGAAGACCAATTGGTTACATCGCCATGGTGGTGGAGCCTCGTGATGCCAATACTGAGAACGGGTTGTATAGTGTTCGAATGGCTGCTGGGGTTAGAAATCCGATCCTAATTTTTAACTTCTAGTTTTACAATTACAAGTAGAGATTTCCTATCATTTATATTCAAATTTGGTCATAATGGTTATTTGAATAAGAAGAGAAGTAGCAAACACAGCAGCGGTAGACACTTTGGAAGAGAGGTAGCAAACACAACAGCGGTAGACACTTGGGAAGAGAGGTGTCAAACAAAACAGCGGTAGAAACGTGGGAAGAGAGGTATCAAACAAAACAGCGGTAGACACTTTGGAAGAGAGGTATCAAACACAACAGCGGTAGACACTTTGGAAGAGAGGTAGCAAACACAACAGCGGTAGACACTTGGGAAGAGAGGTATCAAACAAAACAGCGGTAGACACTTGGGAAGAGAGGTATCAAACAAAACAGCGGTAGACACTTGGGAAGAGAGGTATAAAATGCAGCAGTGTGCGATAGTTCAGAATTGAACATGTATGTCTGTCTCTTTCAAGCCTTCATGTGTATAGAGAGCCTTCAATAGTACTAATCTTGTCGAAGTGCATATACGTTGTTTGCTTATTGTGTAACGCCGCACTCAGCAATAGTCCATATATCGCTACGGCCTCTAATGAATGGAGCCTCGACCAGGCAAACCAGTGACTGATCATATGAACATCGTAGAAGTACGATGACACGTAAGTCACCGACCCCCGAGTTGTTTGGCACGCATCGGTTGCTGGGGCCAGTTCTAACCCTGAACCTCCAAGGGGGTGTAAAGCTGATACTAGTCCATCTTTGAATACATCCACTAGTCCGTCTTTGAATACATCCACTAGTCCGTCTTTGAATACATCTACTAGTCCATCTTTGAATACATCCACTAGTCCGTCTTTGAATACATCTACTAGTCCATCTTTGAATACATCCACTATTCCGTCTGTGAATACATCCACTAGTCCATCTTTGAATACCTCATACCAGTCCATCTTTGAATACCTCTACTAGTCCATCTTTGAATACATCCACTACTCCATCTATGAACACATCCACTAGTCCATCTTTTAATACCTCTACTAG